ACTTCGGGAAAAATCTGAACTCCGATCCAGACCAGTGATTTTCAAGGTCTCGCTTACATCATATCGTCTGATGATCAATAGTTTGCTATTTTACATTTTCGACTTTTCCAGAAGTTTTCCAAAGGTCGCTTCGAAAAACCTGTTTTTGGAAAGCTGGCCGAAGATGCTGAATAAGCTCTTCTTTCGATTGGTGAAAGTCGCGTCACTCTGGCTCTTTTCACTTTCGAGTTATTCAAAAAACATCGATGTATTATTTTTTTCTCGGATGGACAATAAGTAAAAGCAACTATGATCGAACTAATTATTGACTAAATAATTTCCAGTATGGCACTTCGCATCGATGCCATTGACATATGGCATATCACGGTACGTCCTGACAGTCAAATAGTTTTTGAGTCATTTTTTATGTAAAGAAATGAACAATCGTACGATCATTACTAGCTCGATTAATATTAGAAACATTTGGCAGTGTCATATGTTCATCCAATTTGATTTGTAAAATATTTAAGGAAGCAATGCAGCCTAAATGACTTTCTATATAGTGTTGTGAAACAGTTATGAGATGTAACTGCACATAATCCGTATGAAGAAGAGTTTAAATTAATTGAAAGTTTATAATATCAGTTCTGATGTCTTCTGCGGCTAAATATTTGGAACTTGTTGAAGGTTGCGAAATAGGGATTTGCATTGGGTGTTTAAAAAATACGAAAATATTTCGGCTTTAACCGTGAATAATTTCCAATGCAGCACTACCAGTACGCACCAATGCCAATGGGCACTGGCATCGGTGCCATTGACATATGGCATATCACGTTACACCCTGACAGTGACGCACGGAAATTTCGTTGATAGCCATAGACTTCATCGTTATAGGCCATCAACAGTCATATGGTTTTTGAGTCATTTTTTATGTAAAGAAATGAACAAACATACGATCATTACTAGCTCGATTAATCCGAAATATTTGGCAACGTCATATGTTCATCCAATTCTGTATCATTAAACAACTTCAAAGGCACAAAAGTTTTTACTTTCTACAACTTTCGGAAAACTTATTGAAAAGTCTCCAAATCACACTTGTGAAAAAACGAGTATTTGCAGCTATGATCTAACTCGGTACTTTTCTGAAAATTAAAATTGTCATACAAACCATCATTTGTGACATGAAATGCAGGGGCCTTCGACAGAAGAAGCGTATGAGAATTGTATGAGCAAAGTGAAGCTGTTAAATAGCATTTGCGTTTATTGTTCTAGGTTTATTTGCTCAAGTTGAACGAGGTATTACCCATTATAGCATAGTTCAATCAATACAAGCCCTTCAAGCAATCTTGAAATCAACATGTTCAACACCATCTGCGGTGTCTGTTGGCTCTCCGAGTCCATCACCATCGCCATCAAGTACATCATCTTCAAGTAACGCTTTCAAGTTTCATTCATCTTCAAGTACTTAAAATTAGTCTGCTGCATAACGGCTACAACTAGAAAACCATTGGTTTTCGCAAAATAGATACGACTTCAAGACGAATGAGATCTAAATATATTAAATTCTCAGTCGCGCCGTTATTGGGCATGGAAAAAGAAATAAATCAATTGAAAGAAATAAAAGACGATGAGAGGCACTCAATGAATAAAATTAAAATGTAAATTATTTAAATAATAATCATTTACAATATTACTGTTCCTATGCACAGCCTTTCTGATTAAAGTTTGATTTAAAACATTTTGTTTCAAAAAACACTTCGTTAAAACACGCGCCCAACGTAAATGAAACTTAATAAAAGTGACTGGAAAATTCAGTCCATTCTCATTTAACTTAATAACAGTAATATTAAGCGAGTTACACTCATTGCCAAGAAAGATCTGTACCACTTAAACCATAAAAAGTCGAAACGTATCATAAACGTTGGATGAATGACTAAGCAAACATTCGCGGTTTCTCTGGTTCTTTGTTGAAATTGTCAAAACTAACCTATTTTCTAAGGCACTTTTCAACATAAAGTAACAGTGAAATTTAAAGATTTAACGACTTTTCAAGATGTTTTTCTTCGTGAAAAACAACAGGCTTGTAATTTGCGTGAAAAACTAAACCTTTTTCAGACATATTTAATACATGTTATTTTTGAACAAAATTCTAGACAATTTTTTTTGACAAAAAAGTTTTTTTTCGGGTTCAGTGACATTTGCAAAGTATATAACGTACTTTCAAATTGTTTGCCAATAGAAAAACATTTTTTTCAAAAAATATCCGAGAGCGACTATAGTCTGAAGATTTTTGATGAAATTTTTTATGTTATAGAAATGTATACTAAATGTGACCTTGTAAAGCTATCAAATCTTTTAAATACGTGTACGCATCAAAAATCCGCTCGATCCATGATATAAAAAGAACTTTCGCTTTATAAAGTATGGACGCCAGATCTATTACCCAAAAATGGTTCTAAGTCTTTTCCACCTAAACGTTTGAGTGCAGACAGTTGGTATTAGAAAGGATTTAAAATAATATCATATGGTTGATGAAAAACAAATGGACAAATAAAACCGATGTTTACTTTGGACGGCTTTCGTCCAGTTGAGATGTGTGATGTTTCTACATAAGTATGTTGAATCTTTCTTGCACACATGTCATTTTGAAGAGTATTTGGTATTAAGGTGAACCCTCGACTGTTTGTTTATCTGGAGAAAAGCGTCTGATACCGCAGGGATTTTTACCAAAAAACAATAATGTACTAGTCACTTTTCAATTTAATCAAGTTTTCCACTGAGTTTAATGAATTAACTCTATATTTTTAGGGACTTAAGTGTCTATGAACTGATGACACGCGATATTGTCCATTAAAAGTAGTTGATAAAAGACTTTTAATTTCAGGATCATAACATTAACATCACAGTATCTTCTTTTTTTCCACATATCTCTTTTAAAACTCTGAACAACTGTCACTATTTATCTTATGTTGATGTAGAAGTAAAAAACTAAATGCGATATTGTATCACCGCTCTTAAATACTCAGTTAACTGAAACATGTACTCCTGTTCACAACAGTTGTCAAACAGTTAGCTAATGTTCCGTATCTCTTTCACCGCCTAATGAAATTATATCTCCGGCAGAGTCACGACAATGTCAGATATCGTTTTCATTCTGTCGAACACAATGGTGAAGATAGTGCCTTTCTAACAGAATTTGATTGTTTTAAAATACACCTCTAAAAAAGAGCGAAAGAATCGTTACAACCGCAAATGTTCGCTTAATCATTCAACCAACGTTTATGATACGTTTCGACCTTTTATGGATTATGTGGTACAGACCTTTTTTGCCAATGAATGTAACTTTCTCAATGGTTATTTTTTTTTCTTCTTCTTGGGGTCAGATTCTCAAATTTCTTAGATTTTTGATCATAATCCTATTATGTACTAGACTAACTTCATTTTTGTCTTTTCACTAGTCCTCATATTTTATTTGGTAAAAAATTCAAGGAAATTATGTTATAATGAAAAAATATCCAATTGGTACAAATATAATATATTTTGTTAAGGTTTTTCTCTCTGTTATATATTGTATGAATGATGAACATTGAAGGCCAGAAACACCTATATAGACTTGATATGTCTGTAGTAGCCATGAAAAGTTTCTATATGTATTGTTCTCAATTAATATTTCATGATTACGCCATAATAATGGTACCAGATCAAGTTGTTATGAAGAACATTATAGAAAAAATATTAAAAATGCATTTGTTTTAACAAAAGAAAATTTGAAGAATGTTTTACATGATGAAAAATTACTTAAGAAAAAAAAAAAAAAAAATGAACAAATTATTTTTTTCCACTTAATAATATAAAAAATAATTTTTCTTTTTTTAATAGAGTATATATGTATTCACATACAAAATGAAATTGATGTAGAAAAATTTTTTTTTTTCCATCTTGTTAAAATAATAAAAATATTTCGTTGTGTCAAACGTTTAGATCGGATGAAGTAACAGCAACAACAACAACCAACAACATTCAAGTGTTTTTGACTAGAATACAAAGAAAAAACAACTGCATTATCTACAGCAGATCGAATGAAGGATAATAAAGAACGATATTCATTTCGTCATTCATTCATCAAAAAATTTTTTTTTTCTTTTCGGTTTTTTGGTTAAGGTAATAATAATAGAAGAAGAAAAAAAGAAATATATATAGCTTCCTGATAACGAAAAGAAAGAGAACCTATCGTGCTACAAAATGAAGAGAAGAAAAAAAAATGGAGAAAAAATTTGTACAATCTATAGAGCGATACTCGGAACCACCGTTTTGTTATATTTTTTAATCTTTCAATTTTCATCGACACTTGTTTATCAGCATCGCCATTCATCCATTCTTCTTCACTTTTCTTTTGCTTATGTTTTAGTATATATGCGTATATGAATCGAATGACTACTATATTGGCAATGATTTCAACTTTTCGGATCATATATAAGAAGATAAAGTTCTAAAACCATCACAAGTATTACTCTTCATTTCTCTTCTTTTTCAACAATTTGTTATACTTACTTATATTCAACAAGAAAATATGCTCAAATGGGCTGTTGTACGTCCTGATACAAATTCCGATGCACAACTATCTGTTCAACTACATACACTAGATGAAATATGTGATCAACAAATATTTCCATGTTTAGTTCGATTATATACAGAAAATTCAACATTTGATAACGACAATTACTGTTTATTATTAACTGAAACATGTGATCCCTATTTAGTTGTATCAAATGAAACCGAACGATTTGCTGTACCAACGTCATTTGATGGTAAGTCTATATAATTCTTAACGTCTAATATTTCATGAAAAAAAAGTGTTTTAAACACGATAGATTAAATTACATCTCATTCATATTTGATCTTTTGTCTGATGTCATCCAAACGAATGACGTAAATTTGCAATCATGATTAACGCATATACTGCCTATTTCTAAATTGAACTGTTATTTGTATAAAGGCTGACTGACAAATTTATTCTAATTCTAAAAATTTCAAAATACAGCGCTCTTTGACCCCGTGATGGATATGTTAGCATATTTTTATTTGTTCTCATGTTGTAATTTTCTGTAGACACACTGACCTATCGAACTTAGTCACTCCCTGGATTAACCGGAAAAAGAGCGCATAAATGGTTTTTTCCATTTATTCATTTCTTCTGTTCCTTCGGTATGAATAATGTCTGTCTAATATCGTCTGCTCGAAAAGTTTGAATCACTCATCTGTAGTTCCTATAGTTGATACATAAATTTCGGTAAGATATAATAAAATCACCGATACAGTCACATAATCTATTTTCAAAAAAAACATGACCTTGCTTTATCCTCTCAATCTGTCGCCTCTGATAAGCTTATGTAGCAGGTTGATTCCTTGGGATGGTTATTTATATACCATTTTCATTATCTTTTTGTACGTCTAGTATATTACTCTTCAGACATTGAGATTGATATCTGTAATAAAGAGATATATATTATCAGAACGTATTTTTCGAAAGGTTGATCTTATCAAAGTATATCCATGATAAAATTTCCAAAAACGTCATCCATCAGTATTCTAGAAATATCACTGCTGTTCGTATGTCTCAAACATTTTCGCCACTCTACATGCTGGAGTGCACTTAAGGAGGGGGTAGGACTCCCCTGATATTTGAATATGTTGTACAGTTCGATGACGCCACAATAATTCTCCCTTTATGGGGTCACAAACGTAAAAAAGGTGATCAAAATTAAGTTTCACACTGCAATTACGCAGTGGCTCCGCACAACCTTATATGTACCCTCAAACTACGTCAGTTTGAAGAGGACGATTAAATTTGTATTTGAAGGATTGTAACATGGTGGCTAGATAACCTAAAGTGTTGTCTATCATTCTGCGCTACGCCAACTTCTTTATCTATTGTGGTTCTCGACTGGCAGGCATTTATGCGATGAAATGATAACCAGTTACAGATGATTCAGGAAATGCCTGTTGTTCGAGAACAACAACAGTTGGGAAATCTTTGTCGAATGACGTATTACTTTACCGTTTCCAATAAACCGTGAATTTGCAAATAAAAATATAAAGCGCCAGAGTGATATTAATTAGTATTCATTAGCATGATTAAGTACAGATTATTGTCTTAAAAAGAACTTTTTTCATCAAACCGTAACAATAGTCCATTAGCTATCCAACAATGCATGAATGACATTTCTTCGATTATTTTTGACTGATATACAAGTTTTTTAAAATGAGGACTAGGACTTTAAATTTTAATTCAAATTTAAACTTGATTAATTAATAACTCTGTGCATAGTTATCAGTTCATCGAACGAACTTAAGAATATATGTAATCAGGTGTCCTCTTTAAAGTGACATAGTTTGAGGGCACATATTAGAAGGGTGGACACCCTCATCCCTTAAATTGGACTACCGAGGAGTTTGGGATCCTTGCTCGAATCAAATTTCCTCAAAATATCGAAAATAACTTTCGCAAATGAAGTTTTCTCGAACAGAATTTCCTCCAATGGAAACCTCGAATTTTCCAAATAGAAATTATTAATATTGTTTCGAGTGTATAGAACCTCCTCAAGTTTTCGGTTATATATGTTTGCACTAGTTTATAAAAGAAAATAAGTCTATCACTCTTTTTAAAAGTCACTTTGATACATAACATTTGATACATTGATACAAAGACGAGAAATCGGTAATAGTAAGAGATGATCAAAAGGGAACAGATGAGAGAATAGCTAAAACAATCAACTATTAGAATTAATTAAGGCTTAAGAACTAGCAATTAGCAATTAGGAGGTAAATCTCTTTTCGCACATGCACATCTATCTTTCTTTTCAACCGACGCACTGAGACGAAAAAATGTCCGCATATGAGATATCTTATGTGGAAAGATCCAATATCATCCCAATATAGAACAACAAATAGCTACTATAGCTCGTAATATACATTTATAAATTTTGTTTCAAATAAAGCAATTTCATTGATAGATAACTGAGATAGGTTCAATTGTCTATATTTATTGTCTGTATTTATCTGTAGCTGAACTCATTTTTTGTGTTCATCTTTCATGTTTCTTTCGAGCAATGTTTCTCCTGTTCTACCCTAGAGAATGTACTTGGGGCCAGGTACTTCGCTTGCGTAATAAAGCGGGCACTTGTCCTTTTTCAAGAAGTAAATTTACTTGTAAGTACTTGTTCTTACTTGCCAAGTACTTCTTACCAATAAGGCAAGTATTTAGAGCATGGAAAAGTACTTAGCAACTAATCAAGTACTTGCATCAAGTACGTTCTCTGGAGTATACACTGCAAATAATATTGAGAATTTCTGCTTGGAAACTCCAGGGAGGTTTCCATTCGAGGAAATTCTGTTGGAGAAAACTTCATTCGATAAAATTATTTTCGAGATTATCGCTTTTGAGAAAATTTCATTCGAGCAAATTTCCGCCAATCCTACAGAACCTTGTATTAGATATTTTAGTTTAAAACTATTATTTGGACGCTTAATAAGCTAAAAACACAAAAAAGTACAGTTGAACTTCAATTCTACAACCGCTTTTTACCCACCAGATATTCGAACAGAATTGTGAAACGATAAATCATTTTTGACAGATGAAAAGAAATACTTTATTGGAGAGGAACAGAATATGTGCAGGGCCCTCGATATCGTGTTCCGTTCTCATCGTGTGATAGTTCAGGGCCATCCCGATGTATCTAACTTTAGGGGGGGACAATTATAAAATGACATAACGGCGAACAAAACAAAAAAACAGAAAAAGATATCATAGTACTACATTGTAGATTATCTTAACGTTTTAATGCTTTGCTAAATTGCAGAATTTTCATATATTTCTAAAAATTGGAAGAGGGTCATCCTGCCCCGCTCGGGAGGGGCTTACCTCCGTTCGAGAATGGGATCACTCTCTCATGGTGGGAACTGGGTTGTGCCTTAACTCTGTCGTTTAACAGCGTCGATTTAACAGCTTTCCGAGCTTTTTGTATGTAGATTATAGAAAGTTCGACAGCCTTATATGTAAAAAACCTACATCAGCAGCATA